CATATGGGAGGGATGAGCCAGACGAAGGGAACCAACCGCTGGACACCTTTTGGCCTTCCCTACTTCAAACCTGGTGGAAACTCCCGCTCCCAGATAGGACCCGACCCGACCGGTGGGAGGAGGTCTATCGACAACCCCTCTTTGGCAACAGATGGGTGACAGACACGAGGGGCCGGGTGATGATAAGTTCATCCCCTCCCTAGAAGAACTGGGTGAAACACGGGATACTCAGGGTGGGGGATCTCTGGGACAAGGAAAAGCACGATTGGAAGACAGGGGACCAGCTGCGAACAACCCTACGGTACTGCCACCACGTAGAAGATTCGTTGGAAAATCTTATTAAAGCCATTCCATTAGAGTGGCACCGGATCCTCGGATGAGGCCCCACCTTGAGAGAGGGTGACTGGGTGACAACCATAGGGTCCCCAGAGCAGATTGGTTTGGTACACATGATTTCCCCCCAGACGGTCCTGACCGAAAACTACATTATCACAAAAACTAACACTCTCCAAGGGAGTAAGGTGCCCTTCAAGTGGAGAAACAGAACATCAGTCTATCGAGTGAGAATTATTGAGGAGAAGGGACAAAGGGTGGCTTTTCAACCAGATAACCCAATCCAGGACTTGGCCCTGGACCCGATGGAATAGACCTGGCAGCCCCCTCAAAAGAGGGGCGCCCCCAAACCCAATCCCATCAACCTACACTTACTGACAGTCAAATCAACATATAACTGCTCCGACCCAAACGGCAGCTGGGAGATATGATCAACGATAGATGGGCCAGACAATTGAACATCGATCGCTCCCTCTTGTCACCAATCCAATGGTTCAAGGAGCAAAAGCACATGCCCATGAAAATCACCTCCCTGCAGTGGCAGATTGCCCACCGCTGTCTGCCAACCAATGACTGGCTAGTTGATCAGAGGCCTGTTGCTTCCATGGTGCCAGCGATGCCAGAGCCTCTTCCCCTTCCACAAGAAGGCGGTGACCATTGAACACATCTTTATGCAGTGCCGGTCGCCCAATACATATGGAGGTGGTGGGATCGTATCTTGCGAAAACTAGAACCGGACACTCCTTGGCCCTGGTCATGGCAAGCCATATTGGCTGGACATTGGCCCCTGGCAGGGACAGCCACACCTTTTATAGAAAACATGTACAAAATTGGAAGGAGGGCGGTTATGTGGGCACTCTGGTGGCAGAGGTGCACCCTAGCCATGGAAAAGGTACAGGTAGACGACGTAGAGATTACATAACAAATACAGCAGCAAATACACCTCGAACTCACATGTAGACGACTAGACACAAAATCACAGCTAGACCTCTTTCAACAGATTGGGGACGTCAGGAGAAGGATTACGGTATTCGGCACGGATTGGGTAAGGGGGGAAAGAGAAGGTTGGATTGCAAGAGTGGTATGGAGCGGAGACCACGAAGGGAGGATGAGGGACTTGGAAGTAATGAGAGATTATAGGCTAGAACTTAAAGACTGGACTAGTATAGAGCCCTCGTTCCCATTACGCCCTCCCTCGGATTTCCCAGACCCCTTCCCACCTCATGCACTGTCCCTCGCAGAAATTTTGTCCTGAAAGCAATATCGATAACCCTCCCTCCTTATACCCCCTCACGTCCCTTTTGTCCATCATTCCACTTCCGTTCCACTGACAACTCCTCTAGAAGCCTGTACGAGGAACTCCTCAGTGCCCCCTGGGGAGGACCTCGCGCATCTACCAATAAGAGTCATACTCAACAAAAACAGTCTGCAGTAATAGTTAGCAGGAGGGGTGTGGAGCAAAGCAGCCAATAAACAGTATCAGTCCCTAATTTCCTATCTGGGGCCCTCCCTCTAAAGGTGAAGAGATACAAAGGCAACAACAGTTCTTCAAGGTCCATACAGGTCTGCTCAGTTAATCCGCTGCTCTGCAGGGCAATCAATGCTGGCAGGCAACAAGATCTCTCCATAAAAGGCTGCACTTTTGGCCTCCACACAAGCCTGCTCAGTTAATCCCCTGATTCTGCAGGGCAATCAATGCTGGCAGGTCCCATAGTCACTCACAGTCTTTGGTTCCAGAGTTTTCCAAACTATTCTCCCTTTTGTAAAATGGGACGCCGGACCCGATTTCCAGCRGGTGATGCTCCCCACTAATAGATGGAGCCTCTCCTCCGGTGCTAGTGCTGTCTGCTCTTATCAGCAACACTAGCATTGGAAGGGGTGTTGCGTTAAAAAAAAAAAAAAAAAAAAAAAAAATCTAATCAGAATCCCCCTTCCCCCAAAAAAGAGAAAATAATACTAGTAAAAACAAAAAAAGCGAGTAACCCATATATTGATAATAAGAATTAAAAAAGAAAAAATCATCTAAGAATATATTAAAAAAGTAATATAATAGAAATTAGATAATGCAATAAAATAAAAAATAAAAAAATAAAAAGATAAAAACAAAAAAATATTCCATAAATTATGTAGAAATTTCATAATTAAATAGATAGATGCAAGGAACATGAGTATGGACGAAGCATAGAAATCTAGAATGCAAAATCACACTGAAGTCCAAGTAGTCAAAGCCAAAGCAGATAGCACATGGAACCGAGTAACCATCCAATTGAGAATGATACAGAAGAATCGTGAGTCAATGTCCATGCCCAACAGGGCAACACCAACAGCATAACCCAAATGTAGCTCTCTCTTGTGAATGGTACCAGGCGCCCTATCTACTCTACAACCTATACTACAACTACAACAATGAAAAGCAACCAAACAACTTGACTACCAGCGAGTGATGATGTCAACACCAATGTCGACCTCCATCTCCACCAGGTACGTGTCCTCTTCCCCACACTCTCCCTTGTTACCCACACAACGCCCTTCACCTCCGAAGTACCACCTTCGCCCTTCACCCCTCTGCGCCCTCTGCAGCCCGGCTATGGCCGGCTATGGCCGCCAAGCGCCTTGCATGCAGGCAGCGCCCTACCGCCTAGCGCTTGCCTGCCCTACCTTAGCGCAGCGCTGCTCATGCATAGCGCAACACACCTGCATCTGCGCGGCGTGCCCGCAATGCCAGCATTGGCCAACATTCCCGCTGCCTCGCCCTGCTTGCCTATATGCCAATGCAGCGTGTGGGCGGCCTCCCTTCAGCCTGTGCCCGGGACCCAGAGGCTGAAGCCAACTCGATACAGTTGGGCCCCGGGGCAATGCAGTTGCGCCTCTTTCATCAAGGCCTGCGGCCAGATTCAGATAGTGAGCCGATTTCCCTTTGGCATTTTCGGCCTCTCTTCCCAGCATGCATTGTCGGCCTCACGTTCRAGTGCCCAGGGCCTAACTAACTCAGAGGCCCTGGGCATTTCAGCATTTGTTGAAATCCGAGACTCGGTGCACTCCAACCAACTGGCGTGCTGCAACTGTATGAACCCCACTTCGTGAAATGTTGGCAMAGAGGGCTCTTGTTGATTTGCTGGCCCGCCTTCACTTAGGGCGGGCACGAGGCTTGCTGGGGCCTTAGCCCAGAACATGTACATCATGGCAAGGCCCCTACTTGAGGGCTCAATCCTCACATTCCATCCCCCTTAGCTTCGAAAGTCCGCTGAGATGCTTACTTCGCAGGTGCCTTCCCTTT